ACACACATAATAAACATTGGTTAGTTTCACACACATAATAAACATTGGTTAGTCTCACACACATAATAAACATTGGTTAGTCTCACACACATAATAAACATTGGTTAGTCTCACACACATAATAAACATTGGTTAGTTTCACACACATTATAAATATGCTTTACTTACCAGCTCAACTCTTCCAAAACCTCCAACTCCTAAGGTTGCAATAACTCTTAAATCAGACAACTTGAGGTTGTCAAACTCTTTGTTAATCCTGAAAAAATCTGAATTAAGTAGCTTGTAATTTAAATCTCTTAATTAAAACCATCATGCAAGTACAACATACAACTACAGACAGTACAAACATATCAAGAAGTAGAAAAATGATGCATCTGACTGACTTTATGTACCTATTATGCAACTTATCATTTTTCATAATATTCATGTTGTTTTTACATGAATCCACTAGGTTTATGTTCCTACAGATGATGTTCTTCTTCAACAAAACATGTTTTAAACCATATATTTAACATTTAAAGTATACATAAAATATATGTAACTTTCACCAAACTGTTTTTTAATTAAATAAAGAAGTCTTAATTTAAACAAATTACATTATCTACACAAACAGTTGTTTTTCTTCATTCAATAGATTTACTACACCTAGCATCATCTAAAACCTAAGATATAAGGCTGAACAGTCATAGAGCATTTTATATGGTTGGCCTGTTACTCATTATTAAAACTAATTATTATGAATTGTTATTTTCTTTAAATGTATTTACCAACTCTTCTGTTATGTATAGTATTACATACACCAGTGTTTAAAACTAGAACTGTACTTAAAATGGTTGTAGCGATAATTAAAGTCTTCAATTTTCAGGGCAAAATAAAAAAACCAATGTCACTTTTCATTGTTTTCCAAAAGAACACAAACAGGGAGAGAAAAGAAACCGTAAATAATTCTGGGAAATGAAAAAACATTAGTTGTGATCATAAATACATAACATTCTTACCTTGACTTATCATCCTGATAGCAAGAAACAGAAATACACGATAATTAAAGTTTTAAAATAACACACAATCAGCCACTTATTGCTTTTAACAAACCATTAAATTCTATATATATAATACTCCTACCTATCTCTAGTATTATGACTTATACATACATTGCTAAAGAAAAAAGTAAAGTCAAGAAAAAACTTGTATAAAAGTTCAGTGACGGCTTGAATGGGTAATGAAGAAAAACTGTAATACAAGTTCAACATAACAGCGAATGTACAACGTTTCGACAAGGTTTTGTACCTGATGATGACAAAACCTTGTCGAAACGTTGTACATTTGCTGTTATGTTAAACTTATATTAAAGTTTTTCTTCATTACCCATTCAAGCCGTCTCCAACCATTATTGTATAAAAGTTGTTTTTCTCTATAACTTTTATTAGATTGAAATACTTGTTTGACCATTTAGTAGTTTATGCCAAAATAAGAAAGTAATAAATATAAGATAAAAAAATGGTTCCTTTGGAGTTACTAGCAAACAAATTATTGCATTTTTACCAAAAAAAGTAAAGTCAAACGTTGTTTATCATTTATAAAATTACAAATTTCAGTGATATAAGAAAGTTACATTCATTGCCCATACTTTGTTATTCTGCCTTCATCTATATAGGGTTACACCTTATTAGGGTTACACCTTATTAGGGTTACACCTTATTAGACCTCTAGTGAGTATTTATAGTGTGTGCGTGCTATGCTAATAAAAATAATAACGTTTTGTTAAGTGAAGTTAGTGAAACAAGCAGACTTTTCTAAATCTAAAAATAAGGTATTGTTTAAACACTAGAGACAGAGAAGTAGGAAAATCATGTTTGATTTACAAGTACTGATGAGAATCTAGCTTGTGAAGAGTGTTTTTTTAATCTATAAATTGTAAGATATTTTTTGTAAAATTGGTGTGTATTCACAGTAGATGACTGAAAATTTGGTAAACTCCTGGTAACTGACGTATGTATTATATAATATACCAAATAAGATCTTCAAACAATAACAGAAACCAACTTTTTCCGTTCGATGATTTCTTCTTCCTTGTATTCTTTCTGCTTTATCTCATCAAGGTTGCTGATCAGTTGATGGAAGGACCTAACATAACACAATCAGTTGAAAAAACACTGATTTGTATAAAAACATTTATATAAACAGTTGTGCACGAAGGAGAAAATTCATTCGTATATAAATATCAAAACCTCAATAATGAAACAACTAAGAAATGGGTCTCATACAAGATAGACTAAAACAATTGATACATAGAGAACTCGTTGTACTTAGTTAAGCATCCAAATATGTACAAAAATAATAATTGTTTTATCTCTGTTGATAAGAATAACCTCCAATCAGAGTAAGCTATGTATTTAGAATGAAATAAAAAATTAAACTGGCCATCAGTATAGCTAATTATGTGTACTTTTCTCACATATCTACTTACAAAGGTTTCATCAACTGGGTACCGTTACTGTTAACAATATGTTTGGCAAATCCAATAACATTTCACAAGGTTTAGCCGACGTAGGGTTAGTACTAAATAAATATTCTAAGCAACGCAAATTAATTTTTATTATACAAACTTAGTTATAACGTCCGTTTTTCTTTAGGTATTTCAGGTTGAAAATAATTATTTTATGAATGAAATGAATAGTATTTTCATAATTTAATAAATAAATGTTTTTAACTGCCAAGAAAGAACAAACTAATGTTTCCATAAAATAAACACAAGAGAAGTATTTCCAAGATATTATATGTAATATCAAACATCACAGAACTGATGATTTATTTAAATTCACACAATGTACTTGTTTTAAAATCTCACTGAGACACACGACTAAGAAATTACCTAACCAAAAGTTTCTTAAAATATTGGTGTAGAAAAGAATATATTGTTAATTATAATGACTGAATTTATGTAAAGAAAATAGGTTTGTTTAAAATGAAATAATGATAATAGTCAAGAAAATTCAAGGGTTTTTAGTCACACATCTTGCACATCAAATAGAAACGTTTGACCACTCAAATTTGGTCAAGGTTCATCATCATCGATGAAATACGATACTAGAGTTTAAACTGTTTCATCACACTAATATTCAGACTATCACAGTTAGTACTTGTTACATATTACTCCATTAACATAACAAATATCACAAAATGTCAAAGTTCAACCATTAGTTGTTGTTACTTATTACTCCACTAACATTGAAATGTAAACAATATTACAAAATATCAAAGTTCAACCAGTACATATTACTACACTAAAACTGAAATGTAAACAATATTACAAAATATCAAAGTTCAACCAGTACATATTACTGCACTAAAACTGAAATGTAAACAATATTACAAAATATCAAAGTTCAACCAGTACATATTACTCCACTAACATTGAAATGTAAACAATATTACAAGATATCAGTCAGTACTTGTTACATATTACTATACTAATACTGAAATGTAAACAATATTACAAGATATCAATCAGTACTTGTAACATATTACTACACTAATACTGAAATGTAAACAATATTACAAGATATCAATCAGTATTTGTAACATATTACTACACTAATACTGAAATGTAAACAATATTACAAGATATCAATCAGTACTTGTAACATATTACTACACTAATACTGAAATGTAAACAATATTACAAGATATCAATCAGTACTTGTAACATATTACTACACTAACAATGAAATGTAAACAATATTACAAGATATCAATCAGTACTTGTAACATATTACTATCAAGTACTGATTGATATCTTGTAATATTGTTTACATTTCAGTATTAGTTATTAGTGTAGTAATATGTTATTGAAATGTAAACAATATTACAAGATATCAATCAGTACTTGTTGTTACATATTACTGTACTAACATTGAAATGTAAACAATATTACAAGATATCAATCAGTACTTGTAACATATTACTACACTAATATTGAAATGTAAACAACATTACAAGATATCAATCACTACTTGTTGTTACATATTACTGTACTAACATTGAAATGTAAACAATATTACAAGATCTCAATCAGTACTTGTTGCATATTACTACACTAATACTGAAATGTAAACAATATTACAAGATATCAATCAGTACTTGTAACATATTAC